TAGTGCTAAAGTCACGCTCGTGTGTGTGAGACACGGGAGCTGATGGCAGGGGGCGGTGGATTTTTGTGGCGGTCAATGTGGATATTGTGGATGAGTTCTTCTGTGTCATCACGTTCCTTTTAGTTCTACAGCTTCAGTTTCGGAACTTTCATGCTTAGTAACACATACAGCTGTTCCCTCACCACAGTGCAACACCCCTTTCAAACAGTGTCGCGTTCCGAACGTTCTTTAAGTGACATATACCGGTATTGTGGTATTTTCAAAATTCATATCATAACAAAAATAAAAACCGGTATTCGGTATGAACCGGTATACCGCCCAGCACTAGTCTGCACCATTCATTAACACCCAGAATTCATATTTAAATAGTCGTTTTGCGGCTTAATAATTTACAAATACTACTGGGAGTGGGAGTGTGCTCACTTGTGTGTGCACGCATCAGGGCGGAACTCCGCTGTGCACAATACAGAGAGCGCAACCATGTAAAACGTAGAGACATAAATGACATGCCGTCATGTAAATAAGATAAATAACATAAGGCTATTTAGTTTGTTTAATAAAAGAACAAGGTATAGACCTGTTCTATAGAAAAGGTAACTTTAAATGGCTTCTGTTGTGATCTGGCGATATTGTGGGAGTGGGAGTGTGCTCACTTGTGTGTGCACGCATCAGGGCGGAACTCCGCTGTGCACAATACAGAGAGCGCAACCATGTAAAACGTAGAGACATAAATGACATGCCGTCATGTAAATAAGATAAATAACATAAGGCTATTTAGTTTGTTTAATAAAAGAACAAGGTATAGACCTGTTCTATAGAAAAGGTAACTTTAAATGGCTTCTGTTGTGATCTGGCGATATAGAGAAAATAAAAGTAAATAAAATTAACTTGATCTTCAAGGGGGGGCGAGGCGCCCCCCAATTTAATGGCAGGGGAAACACTGAAAACGTACTATATAAATAAACGTGACTGGACTTTACTGGAGTACTGAACTGCAGAGCTCGTGCAAGATCCACATCGCTGTAATCAGATGTGTTTTAAACTGCTGCTTTCTCAACGCTGTCAGTTTTTGATGCGTTTATTTTATTGAGAGGAAAGCGCGCAGTATATATTTACACATTCATCCAAAAGTCGCTCAGCAGCCTCGGGTTCGGCTGCGTTTGCGCTGTAGCGAGCGCTGTCTTCTTCTCTTGAATTGCATTATGAGAGCTGAATTACAGTCTTGCGCTACAGCGCCACACTGGTCAAACCGCGTTATTGCAGGCTCTTACATTAGGTCATATGAGATCAAACGACTACTCGACAACAAACATATTTGTTGACAATTTTTTTTGTCTACGTTGTCGATAATGTCTACTAATCATTTCAGCCCTACCCACCACCCTTCTCTCCCATCTTCCATCAGGCAGGGAAGAAAATCATGATGAAAAACCTTCAATAATCCCAGCATTAGACAGGAGACCCATCCGTCCTCAGCTCAAGAATGACTCTATTAATAGCTTGTTGCTTCGGAGGGCTGATTGCAACTGAACATCCGCGTTGCTGGTGTTAAGTGAGCCAGAATCCAGAGGTGACCACTTCCTGAATCTCAGAGAAAAGATCAGATGTTTCAACTGCACACATATGGCCTGAATAATGCCATTGTGAGCGAGATAATTTAGCTTAAACTGTGCAAACAATATGTGCTGATGCAGATGTGTCTGTGTGTACTGATACAGGTGTTTGTGCAGCGTGTGAACAAAAGTACAATATGTAACCAGCTAAATGAATCGGAATTATTTATACAACCCTGTGGCCACAGACACTAAACCACAGACATACATCTTCATAACAGTGTGCAGCCTGCAACACACACACACACACATTACAGCAGAAAGCAGTTCGTAGACGACAGGTGATGTAATGGGATTTTGTCCAAGGAGAGAGGGAGCTAAACGTCTCGCTGAAACTGGCAGCACTAGAGGAAAGACAAAGATAGA